ACCTGCTATGAAGATGAACTCTATCATCTGGTCGAAGTAAAACTCACTGCACAAGACTTCTACTGTGATTCTGAAGGCAACAGTATGGTCTTGATTCATCTACCTCCGGAACTCAAGCATTTGTACCGTCATTGGGACACTGCCATTCCACATGTCCCTGTGACCAAGTTGAAAACAATATCATGGAATGATCTTGGGCCTATGGCAAAAGCATGGGCCACTATGGACGAATCACAGCTACAGGAAAATGGTGTTGTCAAATATCCAACAACTGACCACCTAAAAGCATGGCCGCGTCATTTCCTGGAGAATGAGTTCCAAGATTTAACCATAGTGAATGACTACGACCCAGATACACCTCATGACTGTTTTGAACAGATGAAAATGGAAACAACACATCTACCAACTGTGCATGAAGACCCATTGGTAGATCCCGATCTCACCCTGTTTGTGGACGGCTCAAGATATGCTGATGAAGAAGGAAGATACCATACAGGATATGCCGTAACCACAACAGATGAAATTGTCAAATCATCATCTTTACCATCAACTATGTCTGCACAAGAAGCTGAATTGCAAGCCCTGACTTCAGCATGCAAGATCTCTGAAGGAAAGCGCGCCAATATCTACACGGATTCAAGATATGCACTGGGCGTGGCTCACGACTTCGGATTAATTTGGAAAACAAGAGGATTTCTTACCACCGCCGGTACACCAATCAAGCACGGTTCCGCAATCAAGGAGCTGATGGACGCCCTTCTACTCCCAGAAGAAGTGGCTATTTTGAAGATAAAAGCACATGGGAAGTTGGACTCAGATGAAGCAAGGGGCAACCATCTAGCTGATCAGGCTGCAAAACAAGCTGCAAAAGAACCACAGGAAGTGGAAAGAAGAGTGTCCGGAAATGAAGAAACTCCCATATTTACTCTGCAGACTCTTCCAACTGACCTAAAAATCCTGCGGGAACAACAGGCTACAGTTGCCCCTGAAGAAATACAGAAGTGGAAACAGAAAGGGGCAGTTCTGAAGGATGGAGTGTACTCCAACAACCTCAAGTTCTGCCTCCCTAAGAATTTGTACCCAGCAGTCGTACAATGGGCACACGGACCTGCACATTTATCAAAGGATCTAATGAATGCTCTTGTACAAAAATACTACCTCATTGTCCCTATATGAGATTCTATTTGGGACTGCACCTAGGCTAGGTTGCTATTTTCCCAACAACTACAACTTCAAACTGATGTCTTAGTAGATTATGTAACTGAACTCGCAAACGCCTTAAACAAAATCCATGCCCAAGTTTTCTCTTCAATTCCAGATCCTGATTCTGACACAGGCAACCACAGTCTGCTCCCCGATGACTGGGTTCTGGTCAAGAAATTTGTGCGAAAACAGTAAATGTCCGTTCCAAGTTCTCCTGATCTCCCCTACCTCTGTCAAATTGGCCTGAAGGCCTAACTGGATCCACGCTTCCCATTGCAAGAAGACACCTGCCCCAGAGGAAGCTAACTCTATGCAACCATGTGCCTCTGGTACATTATCTCCTTAGTTGGCCTCCTTAAAGCCCAGCAGGTGGCCATCACCAAAGATGCTAGTGGGTACACCTTCTGGTATAATTCATCATGTACCCGTGTGGCTACTTATACTTTTGACTACTGTGACATCGTAGAATGCCCATTCCTCACGTCACAGATTCAGAATATCTATAGAGATATCCCTCATTCAAAAGACCCCTATGTTTGTGTAGTTGACAAACAATGGGGGCACAACTGTAACCATTGGGGGGCGGCGGGATGGAAAGCCGGGCCTGCCTGGGGTTACAAACCAAAAAGTGTCTTATCTAAAATTGATGATCACGGTAGGTCCCTCCTCCAGAGAATGACTCTGAGAAAGCCCGGAGGAGGCATACTTATGAAATTAATCTTAAACATTGAGCATCCCAGCCCAACGGATGCAGACCAGTATGTAATGGGAATGTACTGGAAGAAGGGTTCCTATAATAAATTAGGACATTTCCACCTTAAAGATATGTGCCACTCTCCTGAGTGGAAAGGGACCACCCACATGGTCTCAAATCCGTTGAAACCACACATCCAATCTTTTAAAGACATGATGGCCATTGCAAATCCAACATTTGAAGATACCATGGCCGCTGAAACAGGTTTCAATGATGTTAATCTATGGTTAGAATGGATGAAATATAATGCCAACAAACATAACAGAACTGCATGCTATGTGTGTGGTGGTGCCCGGCCGCACCTGGGCACTGTGCCTTCAACTTTGCCAGTAGATATAGAAGAATGTGTTCTGAGTCTTTTTGCCTATCACTACAATTTCAATAGGTCCATATGTAAAGCATGGACAGTAGAGTATCCTCTTCTAGTCAAAGATTGCAAACCCCCAGATGGTGTTACCGTCTATAAAGGTAATTATACCTGTTATGCTAATTATGATGGAATTGGTAAATTTGTGGGTAACTTCTCTAAAGGTTATTGTGCCACCTACAGAACTGTCTCTATGAACCTCCTACAATTCCACACTAGATCATTGGGGGATATTTACTGGTTGTGTGGGGATCTACAGCTGAGATCAAGAATGGATAAAGAATGGTGGGGGGAGTGTACTCTGGCTAAAGCAATCATGCCCATACATATTATCTCTGACACACACCCCGATACTCATGAGTCCAAACACTCACCAACCAAGGTAAAGCGTGAAGCCCCAGTAAAAGGCAGTTTTGACCCTCATATTTACATTGATGCCATTGGGGTACCTAGGGGGGTGCCCAATGAGTTTAAAGCCAGGGATGAAGTTGCTGCAGGATTTGAATCACTTTTTACCATAGTCACTGCAAACAAGAATTTAAATTGGATAAATTACATCTACTACAACCAACAACGGTTTGTTAATTACACCAGGGATGCCCTTCAGGGTTTGGCCGAACAGTTGCAGGCTACGTCCCAAATGTCATTCCAAAATAGAATGGCTTTAGATATGATTCTAGCAGAAAAAGGAGGGGTATGTAAAATTCTGCCTGACACCATGACATGTTGTACTTACATCCCAGAAAACACAGGCCCCAATGGTAAAGTAACCTTAGCTATAGGAAAATTGAAAGAGCTCTCTGAGGAGCTAAAGAGGAACTCTGGGATAAAAGATCCCTGGGAGAGATGGTTTGGTTGGATGACAGGATGGCAAAAAGCTTTGATGCATATTGGTATAGCAATACTAATTTTCCTTTTTATCTTTGCTCTTCTCGTTTGTTGTGTCCTCCCTTGTCTGAGAAAGCTCCTCTTGAAGACTGTAGACCAAGCGGCACCCACTTTCGCACACCTCACAGTTGATGACCAAGATTTCCAAAAAGTCAACTCGCCCTGTATACCGCTACAATCTATCCCGTTTATTGATAAAGTGCAAGAGTTCTAGGAAGGGACCAGCTTAGGGACAGCATCTGTCTGTCTGGGAAGTCTACCGTGTGGAGATGTGGTGGGTTAGCCACCTCGGGATACCCATGGAGTGAAGTGTTCGAGTGCCCAGCGGACAGATGAGTTAGCCAATTAGGGACAGACGAAGGGACAGCTTTGCACTTTGCAATAACACCTAGCTAGCGGGTCACGGGGTTTCTGTGCCTTTGGGCTAACACGCCTTCTGATACTAACAAATAAAGATTATCTTTTAGAATCTAACATTTCATAGGGGGGACTGATGTAGAATTATTAAAATCTTTATTAGAACCTGTATTGAATTATTGTACTAACTCCATTTTGTTCACCTTACATGACAGAATTTCCTGACAGTATTCAGTATAATGAATAAGAGATTGTATTTTCTCTCTCTAAGGACATAACTAGCCCCGGAGTTAGCGGATCTCCGTTGACATGCAACATAGTATAATCCAAGGCCAGGAGAACAGTGACAAAATGAAATGTTCTATTCATAAAAGAACCTTGGAACAGACCACGAGACTGACATCACTAACTACGTAAAATGACGCCCAAGCCCCCTTTCCACCGAGTAAGCCTCGTGCTAAAGAGCAATGGCGACGACATCCCATGATGGGAGGGTGCCTCACTAGTCACTCAAATCTCTGAGCCAATTAATAATATTAATGGGTGGACACTGACATAGCCACTTAACATTTAACCCAATTAATGATGTTTATTTGTTATTATCTGATATTCAATGATGATGTCATTTTGCATATAAAAAGGCCTGCGTGCCCGCTTTTTAACTAGATGCTAATAAATTTCCTGAAGTGTTTTTAACCTGAACTGCATGTGTCAGTGTGAACTTACTTCTGCGTATACGCAATTTATTCATCTCAGATTTGGACAGGAACAGATAGACTTTTAAACATTTTTGTTTATTTCTAAATTAATCTACATCACCTCCAGTTACTTTTTGGACATTTTTCTGAACACATTTAATAATGGGCAAATTTGTCAAAGTTGTGTGTTCCAAATGGTGTGGCAATGTAGTAAGGGTGGAGCAATTACCACGAGATCTAATGGATCACTTTAGTGAAGATGAATGTCATGCAGTCTCTTCTCAGGTGATCCAAGAACGTTTGATACATAGTTACATAGCTGAAAAGAGACTTGCGTCCATCAATTTCAGCCTTCCTCATATATGTTTTAGCTGTTCATCCAAAAGAAGGCAAAAAACCTAGTCTGAAGCGCTTCCAATTTTGCAACAAACCAGAAAAGAATTTCTTCTTGACCCCAAAATGGCAGTCAGATATCTCCTTGGATCAAGCAGCTATTACCCCACTAATTAGAAATTATATCCCTATCTATGTTTTTGGAAGTATTTTTCCAATTCCTGTTTAAACATCTGTATAGACTCTGATAAAATCACCTCTTCATTTTCTTTTATATGTATATTAAATATTTAGCAATTAACAATACAAAAGCATGTTTGCAGTGGTATTTGATTGGTTTCCATTGTAATTGCTCCATTTGTAGAACTTTGCACCTCTTTTCAGATCATTGAGTAACAAACTTACCTGCTCCTCGCACCCTCACTGCTCCCAACATTTAGCCATGTGAACAGAACGCTCTACGTGACCTGAATTAGCATTCTCTATACTTACCATTCGGCCATGCCGTCAGAAAGGTTTCAAACTTACCTTGGTTGCAGTGGGCAGCTACCCGGTCTCTCTCCATTCCGGTCCCCAGCGGGTGCGATGTTCTTAGGAACACCGGCTGACGCGGTTCATGATTTTATAATAAACTTAACTTTGCCCACATTAAAGATGGTGCCAACGTGCATGCAACGTCACGTCATAGACGTGCACGCACGTTTTGGGGTCAGAGGTCGAAGACAGCCAATTACAGCCAAAAGAGGGTTATTTAAACCCAAATTACCTTTTTGCCAGTGCCTTGTCGTGGTTTCCACTAGCTGGTTATCCGAGAGTGTGTTCCTGATCGTGTTTTTTTGGTATTTGACTTTGGCTTTCTTTTGACTTCCCTGATTTCTGGTATCCTTGACTTCTGGCTTTCCTCATCGTTGCGTCTCATTCTGTGTCCCTGAACTCGGCGAGTATTTTGACTATTCTCGGGTACGTTAAGTCCAGCCATTCTAAGGTCCAGTTAGACGTTATCCTTAGTCTTTAGGTGTGATACAATTCTGCATGCTGGATTAACTAAAATTATGACACTTCCCTGTATTCCCTCAGATGCTGCCTGTGGTATTGGTGCGTCCTTTTATAATTCGAAGAGCATGATGTCATGCCCGTCCTCAATATGACCAAGTAATCTAGGCGTCCCCCTATGCAATCAATTTGGAGTCATGGATATAACGTGGACCAATAAGAACATGTTTTATTCTATATAATGCTAATTTTATACAGCGCCCTATCGTGGTTTCTGCTTTGATTCACATTTAGTGCTTATAGTAAGTCTTTCTTGATATTCCTATATTGACCTTGGATTGTATTTGACTTTGTATTTCTGGTATCTTTACACAGCATGTTTTTTTGCTTATCCATATTTCTATAATCCTGACCTTTGCCATTACTGACTTATGTTAAGTCCGGCCACTCTAAGGCCCGGTAATATGTCTATTTAGTACCTCTGTTTGTGGGATTTGCCATTCCCGTAAGTTAGGGTAACGACCCAATGACACATTGTACTTTGAAAAACCTCTCCTTCAGTCTCTTTGAAGTAAACATACAGTATACTAATTAAACCTACCAACTGATAAGGTAGCACCTTAAAACTACATTAACCCAATAAGGACACATGACATGTGTGACATGTCATGATTCCCTTTTATTCCAGAAGTTTGGTCCTTAAGGGGTTAAAGAAGCAAGAAGTAGAATATTGAATATAAAAAGAAATCAATTCATTAAGCTGCCGATAAGTATCATAAATAAATATATAACTCAGATCAATTTAATCATCACAGTAATATAATTGCAAAAAAATAATCACTCAAAAAAGATCTCTAGAATATTATGTATATTTTACTAAATATAAAGGTCATTGTATATTAACATCTATATTATAAGTAATGAATGATTACTGTCCTGCACTGGGCAAGTTGAACACTCTGTATGACTGTCACGTCCTGTTTAACAGAACCAAAGGATTTAAAACCCGAGTCAAAAAAATTCCAACCTTTGTTAGATAAAGGTTTTTATTTAAACCCTCTGACTTGGAAATAATAAGAACTTGCATCTCCTGGCTGTTCAAACCAGCAATGTGGGTTTTAGAAATTCTTGGAAAGGCTTTAAGGAAATACCATGTACAAAAGCTGGCGTGAAGGGGGAGGGTGGGGGGGTTTGCATTCGTAGGAGATGACGTGCTCCTTCTAAACTCTAAGAAAGCATTAAACAGATTATGCATATTAACTGCACTGGGTGTTTTGTGATCTGTCAGCTTTAATGAATAATCACAAGCAGTTAGACTCAGGGAGCTGTTCTTTCAGCACTAGACCACACTGCATCAAGCCTCACATTTATCATACTCCTGAGTGGTAGAATATATCTCCATATTGATATCCAAAACTGGTACACCCTAGATAGATATTGTGTGTGTGTGTGTGTGTGTGTGTGTGTGTGTGTGTATATATATATAGAGAGAGAGAGAGAGAGAGAAAGAGAGAGATCCAGAACCTTTCAATTGTTTTATTGTCATAGAGAACCATATATTATTATTAGTAGTAGTATTTATATAGTGCCAAGCTATTCCACCATGCTTTACAATATTATAAAAAGGGGGAAGTTTGACAATAATTAAGACAATTACAAAATGTCATTATAGGAAAACAAAACCATTGAGAAGTTCTGTAACCATCATATCTTGGGACTGTAACTCCCACCCCTAAAACAAACTCCCAACTCAGGGCACTCTAGATGTGCTCCCCCACAGTCTTATCGCCCTGAGCTTACTCGGCACAGGGCAAGCACGCCCAATGAGGCATTCACGCTGAGCAGATTAGAACATTTGGGAGATACATTATCTTCTATTTCAAATACAGCACTAATTTATATATTATTTTCAAACAGGCCTTGCTGAGGAGACAGTGAGAGTATAAATGGGGAGTGAGTGAAACGTGCAGGAAGAGAACAGATGGTAAGCAGAGTGTGGTGATAAGAGGAGAGGTGGAGAGAGTGGCAGTAAGGGTGTCTGAGGATCTTCCTCCTCCCAATATGTAATTATATATTGTCATGATGAAAGTTCCTGTATGGAGCTGAAATGCTGACTATACTGGATATTCTCAAATAAAGGAAGATGTAATGGAAATCCTAGAGTGCAGTTTTTTTGCTGGATGATATATTTACACATACACATACACGCACGCACGCACGCACGCACGCACGCACACACAGCACATACACCTAGCGTTAACCATGTAGACCAATGTTTTGTTTTTTTAAAAACAACATGACAAACAACATCATGCATTCAACCTTTCCCACTCAACAGTGTTTCTTTGACTCCGAAGGCAGTTATTCTAAATTTTTATTCTTTTTTTTTTATCTTGCAAGATCAAACATTCCGAGAGTTTGAGTCCCACAACAAACGGTGGGATACGGGAAGAAACTAGCAGCTGCACGTCAGTGGTTAGCTTCACACAACACCAGACAGCCATTGACATTGCGAATACAGCAAATGACAAAATGTTTGTATAAGTACCTGTGCAGGTAGATCCAATAAGTGATTTGCTGTACAGTATTCAGATTTTGTGACCCTGATGAGGCTCCAGCTCCAGTCAACATAGGGAGTATGGCTCGTCCTTGTAATGAATGTAGAAAACATAAATATTTGTTGTAAAGCAACTTTGCATTGAATGGATTTATATTTTGCAACCAGTGAAACATTGCAATTCAAACCAAGCTCAATTAGATATGCTGATCATTCCGTGATATTTGTTTGCGTCTGGATTTTTCTATCCATTTTACTTAATTACAGGCGTCTATTCCAATTTACAATCACTTGATAACAAAAACCATAGAGAAAAACGCGTTCTTGTCAAATTGTAAAAATATCAGACTTACTTAGATTAGCTTTATTTTACATTACACAGAATCATTCATTTTAGGGCAAGTGCTACTTTCATATATTGTCAATCAAATTCGCTGTATGTTGAATGTAATTGTTGTAATTGAATTTAATTGTTATCATTAACCACCACAAAATAGGATCTTGATTACACTCTCATAATGGCAGTAAAGAAACATCTTGATAATATTCTGTAATACAATATATTTCCACTTGTTTTTTGTTTCAGAATTAACATATCTTCATTAATATATTGTTTTTTTCAATGAACAGTTTTGCTACACTAATTTCCGTAAAGCAGACAAATAAATGCAAGAAAAAAAGAGCTAATAAAAAGTCTCATTAATGTTTTTTTTATTTATTATTTTTTGTGGAAGATGGGATAGATGAATATTAACGAGGAGCTTGGGAGGATAAATGCAAGGATAGGGGATGGAATAGAGCAGGGGTAGGCACTCTAGGTGTTATAGACTACATCTCCCATAGTGCTTTGCCAGCATTATAGCTGTAAGAACACTATGGGGGATTTAGTCCACAACATCTGGAGTGCCGAGTGTTGTTTACCACTTGGAAAATGTATGTAGCGTAGGGTATGAGGTGACTTAAAGTGAAAGAAAAGTCTGAGAGTGGCATTCATTAAAATACCGCTTTAATAAATACAAATATATGTGTTTATTGAAATCTTCACACACCTTTCAAAATTCAATCAGTCTGGAACACGTAATGCTCTTGAAGTATTGTTTAGTACCTTAAATCTTGGTTCAGACCCATTCCTTGTTTGTTTACTGTTAAAGGCCCTATGGAATAGTAAAAAATGCAGAGAAAAACTGTGACTTTGATCCAAATACTAAAATCAATAGTATGAAATTCATGTCCAACTTATAGGAGTTAAAACATATGTAAGACGACATGAATCAGTAAATGGAGACTTGCAATTTCCATCAGCAATCAATCTACGTGTTTTATACAACGGACGTTAACTAGTATTTTTCGAAATACACTAATTCATTTACACACAATGATATTAACACAAAAACACCCTGGCACTCACACACATACACACACACAATGACATGCCTTACCAACACACCATGTTTTCGAATACGCTCCACACAAACGCAAACCTATTTTTTTTTACACATTTTGACAATTTCACTTACACAAATACATATACACACAATTACACCATTGCATTCACACATTTCTACTTATACATTCCTACATTTGCAAATGCATTCACACTACACAACACATATTTGAACATCTCAACGTTGCATAAAAATTCAACTGTGCATTGATAAATTATGGCACTATATGTAGATACGCCCCTCCGTTCAGACACACATTTTGGAACAAATAAACATGAATTCACAAAGCACACAAAGAGGCATTCTTGGATTCACACATACTGCTGCAAGAAGACATTGATGGATACATTCACTGTGACACTACACGCAAATGAAAACATGCATGCACACTGTTAATAGATGCACCTACACTCACTTTTTATATTTCATGACATATTGAACTTTAATTGTGCATTTCATAGGTCTTTGTGTGTCTTATTACTTCAAAGGCCCTTCATAACCATAAGTAACCCAATCTAACGCTAACCAACCCTAACACTAACTAATCCTCCCTAACCCTAAACACAACTAACCCTGGCTAACCTTAACCTAGTTAGCCCCAATCCTAGCTAAACGTGACTGATTCTAACCCCAGCTAACCCCA